TATATTCAAAGTGAGGATAATAATGGCATAGATCACATAGAATTTTAGTGAAGCTTAAATGAGAGAATTGGATATAAAATATTTGTCTCAGTGCATGTAGAAGGTGCTCAGTAAGTGTCCTCTAGTATCAAGTATTGTCACCAGTTATCAACCAAGAGCCATTTATTATTGTCTAGTAAAACTATACTAGGCACCGTGGTGCATACAGAGGAAGTAGGGGAGGTAAGTTTGTACGTTCGGGAAACTTCGCGTCTACTGGAAGAAATATGCACGGTTCCAAGGCAGCCTGTGTGGAATGGTGTCTTCACAGTGCCAAGGAAATCCCAAGTCAATGGAAAGATTTCCATGGCATGGAATTAATCAAAGACAACTTTATGGAAGAAGTGAATCTTGAGCACGGACTTGGAAGTATTGTTGGAGATGAGAAAGCATTCCTGGGAAGAGGAGCAGAATGAGGGCTTGGGGGGTGGGAGGGGCAGAGCTTGTTCTAGGAGCAGGGAGAGATTGGAAAAGAGACCCCAAAGCGGGAATTTCAGGAGAAGAATGAGACGTGAAATGAGGCCAGGCTGGGAAGTTTAGAATGGTTGAAGAGCTGGGAACCACTATAAGTCTTCAAATGGGAATATTATGATGCAAGATTTGTGTTTCAGGAAAATTGGTGTGGGCGCCATTGGGTTAGACCACAGAGGACTGCTCTGGTGTTCAGGTGTATTTACCTGAAAATAGAGAAGGAAATTACTGAGCCTGAGTGCATTGTCGGAGGTGTTTGTCAAGTGTTTTGAGATCCATAAAGAATCTTTCTTGGGGCACCTTGGTGGTTCAGTCAGTTAAGTGTCTGACTCTTGATCTCGGGGTTGTGAGTTCAAGCCCCGCATTGGACTCCATGCGGGGTGTGGAGCCTACTTAAAAAAAAAAAAAAAAGAATCTTTCTCTACAGTGGTGGAAATGATGTGGCGGAAGGGAGAGAAGGCTCCAGCATCCTGCTCCTGCCCTACCTGCCCCCACAGAAATCATGGAATCACTGGAGACAATGGGAGTGTGGCCAGAGTTCACAAAGGGAGACACTCGCTTCCCAAAGACTGCTAAGAGTGTCTGTCAGGAACACTGACAAAATTGCAAAGGTATTTTTTTTTAAGGAGGTTCCATGCCCCAGCTTGAACTCACAACCCTGAGATCAGGAGTCACGTGCTGGACTGCAGTCCAGGTGGACTGCAAATGTATTTTTTAATCACACTTTCCATAGCTCCTCCTTGGGTCACACAGAAAGAATTAGCCAGTGGCAACCAGGAAAAGGCTCCCCTGGAGGCTGTTGGTTATTTCTGAGTAGGTTTTTAGGTGTGAGGGTGCCTGTCTGGGACAACGGGGCAGGTGTGGGATGTGACACCATTTCATGTGTGACTCATACCTTACTTGAGTTCTCGGGCTCTGCGGGAGGTCAGTCCTGACCACCCAGTGGTGGCCTCTGTGAACAGCTAATGACCTTGTCAAAGCCCTGCCGTGGGGGCGTAGGGGGTTGTGCTTCATGGAGGCACTGCTCCGACGTGTGTGTGGAAGCACAGGTCAGCCCCACTTGTCCACGTCTCTCTCCTTGCGCTCCTACCTCTGGGCTAACTACTTAAGGGAATGAAAAATGATGACCGAATCCAAAAAAGGAAGAAGACCTGGAGCCCTGTCTTCAAATATGCACCCCTTTGGTTGTGCTGGTAAAGCCGGGCATCGCAGTCTCAGTGAAGGACATGGCACAGCGGAGTCCGGGATGTGGGGTCACAGCCCTGCCACCTCCCTATCTCCACAGCAGTTTGAAGAGAGGTGGGCTGGGCAGTTATTTCAGAGTCTGGCTTTCCCTACGGGACCCCGAAGAATGTACACTATCACCCTTTACCATTCTTGATTCTTGTCCTGGCTTTCCTTCTTGCAGTATTCACGGGACCTAACACAGGAGGCGTTTCCTTGCTCACTGCCCTGTCTCCAGCCCTTAGAGCAGTAACTGTTACAGACGAGGCCCCTGGTGCACCTTTGATTAATGACTTTAATGAATAAACAAATAACTGACTGAAGAAGTAGGGCAGAGCAGATGTCTGACCGGCTCCTTCTGGCCCTCTGGAGGCATCTTCCCTTTCCCTGACCCTCTACCACTAAAGGACAGAGACCCTGGAGTCCCCTGTGCTTCACTGTGTTTGCTGTGTTTGATAGCGGGATTCACCCCCCAGCAAGGGGAGAGGCTTTCGTTCTCTGAGGAAATCCGTGGTTATGACAAAAGGCGGAACAAGGAATTCCCTCCCCTGTCTTTTCCGTATTTACTAGCTCTTTCTTCCTATGCAAAGAAGAGCCTCCCCTGGTTGAGTCGTGCTGTAAACCTCACCTGTGAGCACAAACAGGGCTTTCCATGTGTCCCACTCATCAAAGCCAAACCATCCGGCCCCACCCAGCTTCCCTCCACCCTGGCTGGGCTGAGGCCAGAAGTTTCCATGCTGCCCATGTTGATGAACCCAATCACCAGTCTTCACTTTTCTCCTCCCAGCTCCGCACAAGGAAGGCCAAGAATGTAAGCCAGGGCCGAGAGCTGGCCCCTAGGGCTCTGTGACATGCCAAGGGTGGGTCACATCTGCCTGCGTCCTGCCAGAGAGCATCCTGAGAGGTTGTCGTGGAGGTGGTGGTGGTGGGGGGGGGGCAGGGAGGGCGTGCAATTTCAGGTGCCACACATCTGGAAGGCAGAGAAAGAAGTCACCACACGTGCGGCAGTCTGTTTTTTCTTTTTAAATTTTTAAAAATATATATATTTTTTAATGCACGGCCAGTTTGATGGAAAGCACAGCATGGTAGGAACAGCTGGGCCGTGAGCCCTCTCTCCGTTTATGCTCGTGAGGCACCGAGAGGTGGGATTAGCAGCTCTTGGGAAGTTTGGCCCTAGCTGGCCTGTCACTGGGGAGTCAAAGCCACAGTGACCATTAGCAGGCACGGACTCCTGTCCTTGGCTCAGAAACGGTGCCCCCCCGCCCATGTGGCCTCGGTTGAACCTAGGACTTGCAGAGCCAGAAAGATTTCACAGGAGCTTGATGAAAAGGTGTGGCAGAAGTGAGAGACGCTGGTGTGAGGGGGGCATCCCCGGGGATAAGATGTGTCACCCGTTGGGAGACAGAACTCAGCTCTCGGGCAGTAGGAACGTGTGAGGATGTGTGGGGTCGGCGGGAGGCGCGGTGGCGGGAGGGTAGGTGTGGGGGAGGGAGGAGGACCACAGGGGAATGGGGGCAGCTCAGACTCCTCAGTCCCCAAGAAGGACTGGTAGGTGGAGTTGAGGATGTTTGCACAAGGAAACCCTTTGAAGCTCTTCTCTCGTCCTCCCCTCTCTGGACCTGGTTCCCTCCCCTCCATAAAGCCATTAGCTTCTGGTGCCGGCCCTATCTCTGCTGCATCTCTCTTGGTTCCAGTCGGTGCATTCACAGACCTCCTGCCCTGAGGGACGGGGAGGATTTATGGGGGGTAGAGGGTAGAGGGGGAGGGGGCATCCTTTAGAGGAGGCGAGGTCTGTTAGGAAAGTAGAGTGTGGGGAGCTGTTAGTCCGCGGCGCTAGAGGCCAGATCATTTCCGAGCGGGCTCTGCATGACAAAGGAGAAGGAGCAAGTTTCTTCTTTGATCTGCCCCCTGCCGGCCCCACACACCTGCCTGTTGGTGCTCCCGCCCCTGCTGAGACCTCAAGAAGAAAAACCAAAAGGGGGTGGGGACCAGGCTGTGGCCCAGCTTCCCTGGACCCTGTTCAGGCCACCTTCCTCTCTTGGTGGCCCCAGGACAAAAATATCTCCTAGGCTGATGACCCGAAGCACCTGCCGCCCCCTCCTGGAGAGCCCGGAGACCCAGGGCCGCGGGAGCCGCGCGGTGAGATGGGGTGGGGCGGCTGGGAGCGTGCGCGCCGGTGGGTGTGAGAGCGTGTGTAGAGTTGGAGGTGTTAAGGGGTCCTGGGAAGAAGACTCATTGGAGATGTGGGGTCACGCCCTGGATGAAAGCTAAGGGGGAAACGAGGTGGGGGTGAGTGGGAGGGGGCGTGTTTTTATAGACTTGCTCTAGGATCCAGAAGCAAGGATTTTCCGTTTGTTTCCAAGGGCTGGAGGAAGGGTGCTCTTTCGGGGATACAGGCACAAGCGTGAGTTACAAAAAGCACAGGCAAAGATGTGGGAAACTCTTGAGCTCCAAGGGAAGGGGTCGTTGCTTTTGGAAGATGCGTCTTCGGCGCAGACCACTGAGGCCGGCGTTGCAGACCAAGAGCTCGCTGTTGCCCTCAGTGCTCCCGGCCGCCCCTCGAGGGCCACAGCGCAGAGGAGGGGAAGGAGGCCACCTAGGAAGAGACCACCTCACGCAAGGGAGCTTTAGGGGCACATGGCATTTCTCAGAGAAGCTGCCCTGAGAAAGTGCAAAGTCCTCGCCCTTCTGTCTGCTCTATTCCTGGTAAACAGGAGCTGAGATGCGGAAACTTCCCTGGAGTGAGAAGGGTACACATTGGGAGGGAAGACTCCTAGTTGGCTGCAGGCAAATCCAACTCACCAGCTGTTCTTAGCCCAGGAAGGAGCGCTCTGACTGGAGTGAGCCGTACAGGGAGGAGTGGATGGTGCCCTGGCTTCTTTGGATGTTCTGGAAGAAGGGCAGGTGTGAGCTGCAGCAAGCACAGCATCTTCCTTGATGCTACCTGGAGCACATTCTGTTTTGGAAATGACTTGTTTTCATTTCTCTTTTCTAGTTTCTCAGCTCATTGTTTCCTTTGGAATTAGGTCCTGGGTAAGGTTCCCACAGTTTGGGGTAAGAGACACAAAGGCGGTCCCCCGGTGAGAAGAGTAGCCGTAGGAGATGGAAGATGGAAAGAGGCTGAATCTCTTTGTGGGGGGAGCAGAACTTGACGTTAGCCCCCCTTAGCACCTAATCCTTGGTGCTAACCCTCTCCTCGTCTCCCCCGGTCCCGCCTCATCGGCTGCATCTCCACATTGATGCTCCCTCCATTCTGTCTTCTCCAGGGAGCCCCATTTCGGAAGCCGACCGCCCCCGGGGTCTTCCCAGGGCACTGGGGGGGGCCGAGGCCGAGGCCAACCATGGCCAGCCTCCTGCTGCTAGCCGCCGCTCTGCTGTCCAGCTGGGCCCAGCTTCCGGCCGAAGCCAGCTCCTGGTGGTGAGTGAGAGCGGCTGAGGCCCTTCTCTACAACCTACGCCTCCTTTGGTAATTAAATGTGGAGAAGGGTCACCATGCGTTGTGATCATTCCTTTATTGGTAGGAATCCTAAGGACGGCTTTCATCCCAGGAAAACTAGGACAGCCTTTCCTCGAACAAGCCCCCAGAGGTGAAGGTTCAGCGAGGATAAAGGATTAGTTCATTTGGGTTTTTCCTCTGATCCTGTCTGCTTTCCCCTTTTTTGGGACCTTCCTCAGTCCCCATGGGTTGTTAGAAATAGCTCTTGCGTTGTTATTGGATCAATAAGAACATTGATTTCTTTTTTTCCAGTGGGAGCAAGGAGAGTAGAATTCCTATTTTATAAGTCTGAAGACCAGATGAGAGGTTGAGAGATTTGCGGGACCCTTGTGTGGCCTTCTTTTGTGTTTTTAAGACTACTGTCATGGCCAAGTCAACCTGGAAATGGCCGGCCCTCCCCACCTATCTTGCCTGGGCTGGGCCCCGCTCACATTTGTACTCAGATGGCACATCTTACAGTCTTCTCATCTAACTGAACACTTTACTCTATCTGGTAGAGCATGAGCCGAAGCGAGGACCCCTGAACGGATAGAGTGGGTTAGGGGATTTGTGGGTGGGATATGGAAGCGAAAACCTTTAGACTGTGTTGTGATGTATGTAAATTGGCTTCTGTTTGCAAGGCATAAGGGCAGTGCTATTTGAAGGAATTTATTGTTTTCCATCACATACCCTGCGCACGGGCTAAAGTGAATGAATCATCTGCACCCCCTGAATAAGTCATGTGCTGTCCTGTTAAGGTTTGGCTGTTTCTGTCCTCCACCTGGAATGAATGTCCTCTGCCCTCTCTGTTGCCCTTCTCTGCCTGCCCCATCCCTTAAGACCCATTTCACACTCTGGCCATTGCTTATAAAATCTTTTCTCTGGGGATGCCTGGGTGGCTCAGTCGGTTAAGCGGCTGCCTTCGGCCCGGGTCATGATCCCAGGGTCCTGGGATCGAGTCCCACATCAGGCTCCTTGCTCAGCAGGGAGCCTGCTTCTCCCTCTCTCTCCTGCTTGTGCTCTGTCAAATAAATAAAATCTTTAAAAAAAAAAAAAAATCTTTTCTCTGGCTGTAAGAGCTCTGTCTCTGTCTGGTCACTGTGGATGCAGAAGCGCAAGTCTGGCTTTGGCCCTTGACACCTCCCGTGTCATCCGCATTTGTGCTTCAGTTTCCTAGAATGCCCTTTGAAGACAGGGCCTCTGTTTTAGGAAGTTTCCTTTCCAAACCCTCGGTACAGGGCCTTGCACACAGAAGGAAAGCACTTGCTAAATGTGTCGAACGAATGACTTCATGCTGCACACAGCGCACGCTCACCCCTTGGACTTCTGTCCCTTTTCTGGCTCTCCGCTGTAGGTCATTAGCTATGAGCCCGGTGCAGAGACCCGAGATGTTTATCATCGGTGCCCAGCCCGTGTGCAGCCAGCTTCCTGGGCTTTCCCCTGGCCAGAGGAAGCTGTGCCAACTGTACCAGGAGCACATGGCCTACATCGGGGAGGGAGCCAAGACGGGCATCCAGGAGTGCCAGTACCAGTTTCGCCAGCGGCGGTGGAACTGTAGCACGGTGGACAACGCGTCCGTCTTTGGCAGAGTCATGCAGATAGGTAAGAGCCCACCGGCACATGGCTGCCTAGAGGAGCCGGGCTCGCCCCCCAGGCCCGGCACAGAGAGCCCTCACCGTGTCTGAGTTCTCTGAGGCTTGGAAGCGGTGTGCAAGGGGAGACGGAGATGCACACAGGAAACAGGGTCTCAGATGCCGTGTGGGCCACCCAGCTAGCGCCCAGCTTCGCTCTGTCTGCGGCGGTCAGCGGCCACTCGCTCTGGGAGGGTGGCAGAACAGCGGAGTTGAGTCCGAGCGGATGACACTGCCCTTTGTCTCAGCACAGGGGGCGGGGGGGAGGGGGCTTGGACAGCATTGGGTAGCTCTGAAAATTGCAGCTCTGAAAGTGTAGATGACTTTTACCTCTGCCACTTGGACCCTGAGAGAGAGATAGAAACTTTGGGCCAAATTGGTGATAGCTGTCATTAACCTGACCCAGATCCAGTCCTGGCTTTTTCATTCCAAAGGGATGTGTGTGAACGTGGGGGAAGGGGACAGACCAGAAGAAAGATGAGAGGCCACCTCTTCCTGGATTCCTGTCCCTTCCCCTCTCCCCTCTGCTCTCTGGCTGCCCTATTGCTTAGGTGGAGGTGTGATTTGGGGTCTAATTGTTTGAGGTCCTTTTGAAATGCAATCCTCCCCTCCCTGGCAAGAAATTGAGAAATCCGGCCCTATTCTACTGGGTCTGATTGGCAGGGCCATAGAAGGAAGGTGTTAGGGCACTGTGTTCTTCTGTCTCGCATTCTCTAAAAGAGTTTCCCCTCCAAGGAAGGAGGGCATTTGGGAGTTACTTGAGGCTGAGTTTTTCCCAAAGGACGATTTTAGCAGCAAGGAGGGTATGAGGAAGGCCCCTCTCTCCTGACCTCTTTCCCCTACCTATGTTGACAAGTGAGGACCAGGGGGAAGTATGCTTTGAACCTTGCTGCCCTCGTCCTTCCTTTAGTATCAACTCAAGGTCTAGACAAGGAGGGCTCAGATGTTCCTGCCACAGTCTTACTGGGCAGCTTTCCTAAAAGAATGGACTTGGGGTTAAGTGGGAATTGTTCATAATTTATTGATTCTCCTCAAATACACTTAGTATCTGGTAAAGTCTTAGCAGCACTCCCTGCGCTGGGTTCTGGATGAGGAGAGCAGGAGGACCCCAGGTGTAGAGAGAGGCATCCACAAATCACTTTCAGGGACCTAATGCGTGCCTGACATCCCCTAGATCCTTTTCATGTGTAATTTTGTTTGAGTGACAGCCAAAAAGTGAGCTTTACTTGAGGAAAGGAAGGAGTTAGCAGGAATGGAAATGCCACTGGGTGAGGACTGGCTTGGGGGAATGACTTGTGCCAGCCGGCCCTCCCATTCTCCCCGGACCCTGTTCTGTTATGAACGGAAACCCCTGCTTGCCTTATTTTCACAGTTTCTTTTTGTAGCTTCCCTGCAGACTTATGCTACCTGGGAAGCTATCCTCCATTCATGCCCTTGGTCCCAGGGTGGCTCCTGGGGAATCCTCTCTCTCTCTTTCTCTCTTTCATATATATGACTTCCAAGAAAGTCCTCCCTTCTTTGAAGCTGCTGCCAGAGTCCACCACCAGAGGGCAGCAGAGCACCTTGGAGGGAGCCGTGGTGCATGGCTCAGACTTGGTCAGGGGTGCATGGGGGCACCTTCCTGGTAGTTGGGTGGCACTACTGAGAAACAGAGAGAGAGGGCGTGCTCCTGTCCTGCTGTCTCCTTGTAGGGGGAAGATGCCAGGTCTCTCTAGCAGCAACATGGCTGCGGGTTTATTAGCCTCTATCCTTGAGATGGTTTGAGTTTCCACTCTGAGTTGTTGCACGTTTAGAGAAGCCCCCCAGCTTGCTTGTCCATTCTGAAGCCCTGCATTATGTCTTGCTGGCTGAGAGCAGCACTCGTAGTCTGCACTTAGCAGAGGACCCAGTTGCTCCCCAGGAATGCAGAGCTGCCCACCCTCGATGCCCCAACCAAAAGAGGCAGAGCACCTGCAAGGACACCTAATCCACCTGAGGACAGAGTGGGATCCGAGCCCATCATGATAGGCCAGGACGGTCAGAGCAGAGTGTCTGCATAATTATGCTCAGATGCGGGCACATTATTTTGAAAGGCAATTCTGAGAGACGTGATTCAGCTCGGAAAAGCATGTTTGCTAAAGAACTGAGGAAGAAATCAGACTTCTGTAGCCTGGAAATGACAAAACATAAAAGGCCTATCAGTTGTTTTCAAATGCTGAAAGGCTGTCAAATGGGAAGGGATTAGACAGCGTAGCTCCAGCAGGCGGAAGTTACAGGGAGGCATTTTTCAAATGACTATAAAAAAGAATGTTCTGGTGGTTAAAGTCATTAAAAGATGATGGGCTGGGTTGCCTTGAAAACCCAGCCGGCTTCCCTGAGGAATGCTGTGAAAAGGAAGAGTCACAGTGGGAGGGATGTAGGTCAGGCTGCACATCAGGGCTCCTCCCTGTCCCAGGACGCCAGGTCAGGGGCTTGCGACTCCATCTCAGGAAGACTTCTCAGGCATGGCTCCCGCACCGAGGGGAATAGGCCCTCCTCCAGACGAGCCTGTTGGTCACCCTAGCATCCTGGTTGCTCATTCTCCTAGTCTGACTACCCTAGATTAGATAGAGCCCTGGTCTCTGGCAGTGGATCAGCAACTGACTCAGATGTCAGTCCTGATGGCTGAATCATGAGTGTGACTTCCCACCTCATCTGGGTTTTTCTTGTCCTGCTCCTAGTCCACGTCTGACCAGAAGCTGACCCCTGGTTCCTTGAGAAAAACTGACTTGGCCAGTCTGGTCTGGTTGCAAGCTTGACTGTGTCCTACCTAGACAATCAAGAAGGAGGGCAAAGTGAGAGACCAGTTGAGGACTGTAGACTGCTTCCGTCTCCACCTGCCAAGACAGGATTATGGGAGGTCTACTTTTTTTTTTTTTTTTAAGATTTTATTTATTTATTTGAGAGAGAGAGAGAGAGAGTGGGGAGAACAACGAGGCGGGGCGGAGGAGCAAACTCCCCGCTGAGCAAGGAGCCTGATGTGGGACCCAGGACCCTGGGATCATGACCTGAGCCAAAGGCAGATGCTTAACTGACTGAGCCACCCAGGCGCCCCTATTTTATTTTATTTTTAAGATTTGTTTTTTATGTAATTTCTATACCCATCCCCACGATGAAGCAGCCAAGCGCCCTACTACTTGCCTTTTTGATTCTAGCCATCCTCATGAGTGTACAGTGGTATCTCATGGTGATTTTTTTTTTTTAAGATTTTATTTATTTGTCAGAGAGAGACACGAGCAGGGGGAGCAGCAGGCAGAGGGAGAAGCAGGCTTCCCGCTGAGCAAGGAGCCGGATGTGGTGGGACTCGATCCCAGGACTCTAGGATCATGACCTGAGCTGAAGGCGGACACTTAACTGACTGAGCCACCCAAGCGTCCCCTCATGGTGATTTTGATTTGCATTTCCCTGGTGGCTGAGTATTATTTTTTTATAAACATTTTTATTGAAGTGGAACGTGCATCATAGGAGTTTTTAAGCGGTTCACTACAGCAATAGAGAGGAACACAGTTCAGAGTTTCTACTGGAAGTGATCTGGACATTTGGTGAGATGGTGCTGAGTATCCTGTAGATGTGGTTCCCCAGTGCTCTCAAGTAGGGAGGCAGCGTGGATCCCGTGCAAGGCTGGGGAAAACAGCATGGATGATTCTGGACATTGTAATTCTGGCTCGCTTCTCCTCCTCGTCTCTGCCACTGTCTAGCTAGATAACGGCAACAATAAAAAAGACAGATGTGTGGCCCATTGAGTGGTGAGAAATTGGCAGCTGTGAGGGAGAGGTTTTTGCTAGGATACAGAGTCCTACTATTGGTCCCATGATTTCTACTCTGGCTCATTCTGTTTGTCCCACATGTCCCATAAATTCCTTAATGCCCACCCTCCCCTCCATTTAGGTCTGCCTCCTCGGAATCTACTGGCCATGTACCCTTCCCTGGAACGGATATTAGTGTGGGCCAGGGCTGGAGGGATTCATTCGTCTGTGTGTTCACAGGGTAGGGGAGGCAAATTTCTGCTCGTTATGAAGAGCAGTTTCCAACCCTTAGAGCCATGGGAAGTGAAAGACACTTCTGCTGACATCGTTTCGCCTCCTGGGAGTGTTACCGGCCAGGTGATGGTGTTGGGCCCAGGAGAGGCTGAAGGAAGGAAAGGGCCTCGGTAGGAGGCTGGCATCCCTCCCCCCCTCTCCCGCCTTCTCTTGCAGGAAGCCGGGAGACCGCCTTCACGTACGCAGTGAGCGCCGCGGGGGTGGTGAACGCCATCAGCCGGGCCTGCAGGGAGGGTGAGCTCTCCACGTGCGGCTGCAGCCGGACAGCGCGGCCCAAGGACCTTCCCCGGGACTGGCTGTGGGGCGGCTGCGGGGACAATGTGGAGTACGGCTACCGCTTTGCCAAGGAGTTCGTGGATGCCCGCGAGCGGGAGAAGAACTTTGCCAAGGGCTCGGAGGAGCAGGGCCGAGTGCTCATGAACCTGCAGAACAACGAGGCGGGGCGGAGGGTAAGCGGAGCTCCCCCACCTCCAGGCACGCACGCGCCGCCCGCTAACCAGCTGTTCTGGGCCGAGCTGGGAGCCGTGGCCTGGCCATGAGGAAGGGGGTCGTGCTGACCACGGTGATTCTGACCTACAGCCGCCGACCTAGATGCCCGCATTGCCGACCTGATCCATTTCACGAGGCTCCATTCCCCAGCAGGGCACGTGCACTTGTCGTTTTTATGAACCTTGTTTATTTCTGCCCAGGACAGCTGTCCCTAGAGCACTTGGGAGCAGCCTCGTCGTCAGGATTCCAGGCGCTCGAAGTAGAGGTCTTGTCTTCACTGCCCCTCCTCTGTAACGGGAGCGGATAGGACAGCCGCCAGTTAAGGCCGTTAGACCCAGCCTAGGGTTTATGATTTGTGAGAGGTGCAGGCGGAAGCACAGCTGACTTTTAAGAGCTGCTATCACGCACATCCGGAGGCCCGATCCAAAAGCAGGGGTCGGCGCTAATGGCAGACACGCTTCTACACCCAGAGTGCCTTGCGGGAGCCGAGTGGGAGAGAGAACCATCTTTTTTTTTTTTTTTTTTTAAGATTTTATTTATTTATTTGAGAGAGAGAGAGAATGAGAGACAGAGAGCACGAGAGGGAAGAGGGTCAGAGGGAGAAGCAGACTCCCCGCTGAGCAGGGAGCCCGATGCGGGACTCGATCCCGGGACTCCAGGATCATGACCTGAGCCGAAGGCAGTCGCTTAACCAACTGAGCCACCCAGGCGCCCGAGAACCATCTTTTGAAGGCTGTCTCACCAATCACATGTGAGACGTGACTGTTTTTGAGTCTCAGTTTCAGTAGAAACTCAAATGTGGGCTTTGAGGTGAGCGTGGTTTCCCGCTCGTGCAGAGCGTACCTGGGCATCGGCTCTAGGCTTCCTTGATGGCCGGGGGGAGGGCGCGCGCTTTCTCTGCCTGCACCTCGCTCGTGAGGACCTCACCCCTGGGCACATGCTCGGTCTCTACTTCCCTTTGCTGCGCCTGACATGGTCTGCCTCCGCCGCAGGATCCCGGAGGGCTCGCTCAGGCAGCAGCTCTGCTTGCTGCTGGTTCGGGGTTATCCCGTGTGGAGGGGAGGGTGGGGGTGCATCAGGGTCTCCCTTATAGAGAGACGTGAGGTCTGAGTGCTGGGTGGTAGGAGTCGCTGCTGGCACAGGGCCAGGGCGGACCACAGACCTCTCAGGAAGCTACACAGACTTCTTTCTGGGCGTGTTTTCTGCATTCAGGTCTGTGTCGAGCCAGCTGGCTCAGGGGCCCAGGCAAGATACTGTCGTGAGACCAAAGATGAAGTAATGAAACAATGAGACTAGCAGTTTCCTGAGAAGAAATCAATTCAGAAAGTTTATGTTGGTTCATTGGTGATTCAGGAACAGGATATGGATATATTTCTAAAAAAGTATTTACCAATTTAAAAGATCGACTCATGTTTCCCAGTGAGCACGTATCAAATAAATGGAATTGAAATGGCTTTTCTGTGACTCGGGACCTGTAATGTTGGTTTGGTAGAACGTGGTAGGCTTGTTAAACTTAGTCTTGTCAGTAGTGTGCTGTCCAGTTGAAATTAGCGTTGGTCATTTGCCCCGTGTCTTCCTTTTAGAGCCCATATCCGGGGCTAGATGTGGGTGCGAGGGGTCGTGTTAATCCAGGGCAATGTTAGGAGTTCTGGCTGTTGCTCTGGTTCAAACCAGGGCACAGAGAACAGCACAGTCTTAGATGACTTTCCACTCAGGGCATCTGTGGGCCCACCTCTGTCCCCCACAACTTCCTCTCTGGCAGTCTGCTTGCCAGTCTTTGGGGCTCTAACCACGAGAGACTGGAAAAAAAGGTTAAGATCTTCACTTTATCTCCCGAATGCCCAAATTCTATCCATTTTTTAAGATCCCGGTTCAGATACCACCTGTTCCTTAAAATCTTTCCCATCCTCCATCATTAGTAGGCTCTCTGCATCTGAACTGCAGTAGGTTATTTGCTACATTTTGAGGTCTGGCCTACTTCGCCTCCTCCCTCTGGCTGGAGCTTTCTCAGCCCAGGGATTCTGTCCATAGCTCCCCGTGCTTTACTCTGGTGGGTGGGCGCATGTGAATCCAAGCAAAGTTCCCATACTGCCGCTTAGGAAGAGGTCAAATTCATGGAAGGCTGTTTCCTGTCCTTACTCTGAGCTCTCCTTGGGGCGTTGCGGCAGATGCCGAGGTGACGGCATTCATCCTCATCCGGGCCCCATTGCAGTCGCAGGCTTGACCCCACTTCTGCTGGCTCCTCGTTTTATTGCCCTTAATTGTTTGTTTGTTTGTTCTGGCCCTTATCTTGGCCAACCTTCCTTCCATCTGCCTTGTTTCTCACTTACACACCTTCCCCGTCTTCCTCTGTCTGTCTCCCTGCCTTTGGGCCTCCTTCCCCCAGTCTCCACACCTCTTCCACAGCCTTTATCTCTTCCTTTGCTTCTGTCTGCACCGGGTTGGGAATTCCTGTCCCTCTCTATTTTTTATCCCCTCTCCAAGGAGCAGGCCTCCGCCATCAATCACCATCTGAGGCCAAAGGTATTCACCTCCCACCTCCTCACACCTACACAAAAAAATTCCGTAGGAAAGACTAAAATGGTGGCAGGAATTGAAAATTCCCTGGATTGTATTTTACAACCAGTTAATTTTATTTTTAAGTCATCTCTACACCCAACATGAGGCTCAAACTCCCAACCCCAAGATCAAGAGTTGCCCACTCCACCGACTGAGCCAGCCAGGCACCTCAACCCCCAATTTTTTTTAATGGACTATCTAGGATCTGACATCTTGGCCACAGAGTAGATCTGGGGCATACTTTGCAGGAAATTTCTCTTGGCCTTTGAGAGTCTCTAGTAGCCCCATTGTAGACATTGATGGCCAGAGCGGTGGGCTGATACTGCCTTGTCACTCAAGGGCTTAAGCACTTTCCAGATAAAAGCTGCCTAATCCTCGTGACATTACTATCAGTTACCAAGCTCAGTCATACCATTAGACAGTGCAGAAGAGGGACTTAGGGCTTTGCCAGGAGGCAAGATGTAGAACTAAGAAAATGTTTTAAAAATTAGCTTTTATCGCTTTTTCAGTTAGCAGGAAAGGCTAAAAATTGGGATTTTTTTTGGGGGGGGGACTTCTCCTGTCAGAAGAGCTTCCATATATTATCAATAGTAAAATACTTAAGAATACAATTATTACAGTGTCTTTCTTCATAGAGGAGGGGTGGAATGAATGTCTCCTTAGTGAAGATCAGTGACACTTTACTCTCGGATTCGTTTTACAAAAGCTCCCATTCTTACTCTGTGGAGTCTCCTTCAACTCTCCTTCCTCAAATCTCCCTAAGTGTAGGCTTCCAGTAGAGATGCTTATCCTGTCCCCTTGGTCACTTAGTGGCAGGGTACACAGTTTTAGGCCCTTAATGTTTCCTGCTTCCAGCAGCGCCAGATGCCTGACCTCCCTCTCTAAACCAAGGACCACTTCCAGAGGAATGTCAGGCCCCAGCTCAGACTTGGGGTGGGGGGGAATATGTGCCAGAAGAGGGTAATTGCAGACCCCATCTTTGAAGTGCCTGTTGGAATGGGGTGTTGGTCCCTTTATGCCCTGGGCCTGGAGCTGCCCGCACAATGCTGGTGCCTTTAACCTTGGGGAGGAGCCTCCTTCCTTCTCTACTAAGCCGTTTTTAAGCCCCAAGATTGGAGTGCAAAAGGGCTAGTCATTCTGACTCCCTTCTGGGTGGCCCTGAACAGATTACTGAGCCTCTCTAGAGCTTCAGTTTCTCCAACACAAAATAGTAGGAATAATTCCACACCAGAAAAGAAAAAATCAGGAAGAGTTTTGACAGTAGTAACATGAGCTGATGATGCTGAAGCGATTTCTTGTCGGCACCGCACCGAATAAAGACACAATCTGGGGACTCTTGAAAAGAAATCTGAGAGAAATCCTTGGAAAATGAGTCCCGACTCATTTGGTGACAATGGCTGTGGCATAAGAAAATGTTCTGCAGCGGGCTTGCATTTTTATCCTGCCATCTGTACGCCCGGGCCTGCTGCCAGGGCCGTTGGACACAATGCGTCAGGATGCTTTCATTGAAAAGCACTTTGTAAGCAGCATTCCGGTCGACTCTTGCTTTTTACAGTTTTGATTTGGGATAACCCAAGTTCAAATCCACTCCACATTGTTGTGGTTCAGTGGCTTTGAGATGGGTTTGTTTTCAGATGAATCGCCCCTGATGGTGGGCCCAGCAGTGACCCGCTCTTGCTTGGCCCAGGGCCCCCCCCTTCCTCCCCACTCAGCCTCTTCAGGGGGTGTCTGCTGGTGCCGGGGTGCAAGAAAATGGTCTTGGTCACAAGTACAGCGTGGTTTGTGGTGAGGCCCCTATGACTTCGTGGAGTTAATGACCAAATGTTAACACAGAAAAAGGCACTGTTGAGTTCTTAGGGGATTTGGCGGAGAGTCATGGAGAGCTTTTGCAAACCACCGCCATGCCTGCAGTTTCTGTCGCAGGCTGGTATCACGGCTGGATTTTTTTTTTTCCGACTGTACTCCATTTCATGCAAAAGCTGGACAGGGTTTGTTGCTTTGTATTTGTTTGTTTGAGACTTTTGGTCAAGGTAGAAGTATCCTTTTTTCCCCCTGATCGTAAATATGACACATGTATCATAACAAGTTTGAAGTAATAAGAAATGGACAAAGTAGGAAGGGCAAGGGCACCAAATGCCATCATCCCTGGAGCATTGCCTCCCCAGTGTTTTTCTACGTGGTGCTCCTTTTATCTGCTTTCAATCTGGGTAACCGAGCTTCCTGGAAGGATCTTTCTGTACATTTGAAGACTACTCCCCCCGCCCAGGCCTCTTCCGTATTTGGCCTCTGGCGCCCCCAGGCACCCTCCTGACACCTTCCCCCGGGGGTCCTCCTTCTGACCGCCTTCTTTCTCCTCCCCTCAGGCTGTGTACAAGATGGCGGACGTGGCCTGCAAATGCCACGGCGTCTCGGGGTCCTGCAGCCTCAAGACGTGCTGGCTGCAGCTGGCCGAGTTCCGCAAGGTGGGGGACCAGCTGAAGGAGAAGTACGACAGCGCGGCCGCCATGCGCATCACCCGCAAGGGCAAGCTGGAGCTGGTCAACAGCCGCTTCAACCAGCCCACCCCGGAGGACCTGGTCTACGTGGATCCCAGCCCGGACTACTGCCTGCGCAACGAGACCACGGGCTCGCTGGGCACGCAGGGCCGCCTGTGCAACAAGACGTCGGAGGGCATGGACGGCTGCGAGCTCATGTGCTGCGGCCGCGGCTACGACCAGTTCAAGAGCGTGCAGGTGGAGCGCTGCCACTGCAAGTTCCACTGGTGCTGCTACGTCAAGTGCAGGAAGTGCACGCAGATCGTCGACCAGTACGTCTGTAAATAGCCAGCGGGGGGCGCTCTTCCGGCCGCTTCTCCACTCTGCCTCACAAAGTTTATATTATATAAATCTATATAAATCTATTTTATATTTGTATAAATAAAGGGATGGATGATAAATAATTAAAAGAAGAAAATGGAAAGGAAAAGCTTATTTAAGAGACGCTGCTGGAGATGTTTGAGGATTGCACTGTGCCGGGGCGGGGCGCGGGGCAGGGGCTTTCCCCCCTCCCTCAGGACGTCGGGACTTGGGGCTAGTCGCTGTCTATCCACCGTGGCCTTGAGGAGTGGCGGGTAGATGGAGAAGATGATTTTGTCTGGAGTCTGCCGGCCGGATGACCGCCCTGTGACCCCCGTCATTAGGCCAGGAGGCCTGCGCAAGGTGGCAGGAACTGCGCTTACACCATCCCGTCTTCAGGGTCTTGTCCAGAATACGGATTGGTTCCGGAAGAGGCCCGGTATTTTCTTCCCCTTTCACTCGTGTGCATCCCGGCAGAACCCACAGTTACAGGAATGAGCAGAGGTCGATGTCATCTCTGACAGGTGACCACACAGAGGGACCCGCGCCTCCCCAGACTCCCAGGCCTATCTGTCCAGCGAGAATGTCTGTCCCTCCACAGTTCACTAGGTCCTGCCAACGGTTCCCTGAACCGAGGGGAAAGGGGGTCAACTGGCCTGACGTGTTAGGAGAGAGATGAACTGAATGTTTGTGCCGGAGCCGTCGTCGAGAGCCAGGAGCGTCCCTGGAGCGAGTGAACGTTGCACTGTGCTCCCATGGGGAGAGGAAACGGGGTGCTGCTGCAGTCACTTCCTCCACCACGGGGCCCCCCGAGCGACAGGAGGTGCGGCCAGCTCAGGCTCGGCTGGCCTGGCACGCTCTTTCCATCTCTGCCCCGGATGTACAGTGTCTCTCTGACATTAAATACCCTTCACTGGAGTCTCTCTCCCTTTCCTTCTTTGGACACATGATTATCTTTCATGAGTCTCCTTTTCTTTTTGATCTGATCCTTAGAACCCTGCTACGCAGCGCGTCCGTGTGGGAGAGGGTAAGGAAATGGACACTTTTTAGGGCCCTAGTCTGGTGGTTGGAGACAGAGACAGAATATTATGAGAACTGAATAAGGTAAAGCATTTAAGCACTCTCCCCAAGGGCCAACACAAAGTTAAATACTCGTAAATACTAGCTATTAACTCTTACTATTAGGAACAAAAGAATTCAGAGATTTCAGTTTAAAACTCATGTTGACCTTCCTTTCTCGCATCCTACAGCCCACCCGGTCACCTCTGGTTTATTCACTGGGTTCTTGGTAAAGCACAGGTGATGGGGACACTCTCTGCAGGCTTCTCTGTGTTGCCATGTCCAGTCTCAGACTCCAGGATCTGGAGCCGAGAGAGAGAGGAAGCAGAGCTCAGGGATAATCCACGAAGGGAAATGTTATATTCTAGAAAGGGAGGCAGTAGTTTCTGGGACACATTGATCCAGGTGCACTGGAGTGATCAGCCTGCAGGTGACCCAGTAAATCATCCCATAAAGACACCGGTTTTATTCTAGAAAAATTTACTTCTGGGGAAATAGTGGAATTAGGGAGTCCACTTGGGTTATAATGAGCAAATTATGTTGCAAAACAATCTAGAAGAGATTCTGTCAGAATCAGAATCATGGCCATGTATATGACTTGTGACTTTAGGGCCTAAAGAAGAACCTCCTGACGTGTCATCAAAGAACATCAGACCTCGGGTTATTTCGCCCTATTCCTCACGCTATTACTCAGATTCCTTTGGTTGACATTTTCAAGATGAATAGTCCGTGAAAGAAAGTGATTGAAGTCGACTGGCCTACAAAAGATCCAAACCATGTCCTTGGCTTCATTAGCTGGCATTTAGCCAAACGAACTTGGTCACACAGATCAACCATGATAATAAGGGTTTGGGACACGGGCTGGCACTATGGCTCTTCCCTACATCACCGTCGTAACTCCTGGAGGGTAACCTTATGTCAGGTGCTTCGAGTGTTTAAGAGCCGAAATCCAGTTCATCTTTAGAAACTTCAGGAAATTAGCCGTGAGAGACTAGTCCAGAGAAAGTGACTTTCATGTTCACGAAAGGAGAGGCATCATCCCTGAATTCTTTTGAGGTCTTCCTGCAGAGTCATGGCAAGGGGATTGAGTAAATAGTAAATATTTTCTTTCTGACCTAGGGAGCAAGTCGTGTGTTCAAATACCAATGCGATTGTTGCAGCCACTGACCACCAAGGTTAGGAAAGATTGAATTGCCCAAATAGATTGGGATGAAGTTATGGTTACATGTGTGTTAAGCCCTGGTGAGCTGGCAGTTGTCTGTGATGTGACCAGAAATGTGTAGGAATGTGGCTAGAAAATCTGAAGACCAACCTGAGACCGTGAGCTTCTGCTCAGAAACCACACACTGGGGTTGCCTGGGCGGCTCAGTTAGTTAAGTGGCTGCCTTCAGCTCAGGTCACGATCCTGGGATCGAGTCCCGCATCGGGTTTCTTGCTCGGTGGGGACCCTGCTTCCCCTCTGCTTGCTTATCCCCTGCTTGTGTTCTCTCTCTGACAAATAAATAAATAAAATCTTAAAAAAAAAAAAAAGAAAGAAAGAAAAAAGAAACCACACACTGTTAGAGCATGGACAGAATGTGGCAGTCAGAGCTCCTGCTCTTCCAGATGAGGACCTCCAAATCTTGAGCAGGTCCCAAACGTCCCAGGCCTCCAGCCTCAGAACTTTGTATCCAGTTGGTCTGGGGTAGAGCTGGGGCAACTGTCTGAATCTTTAACAAGGCCCTGAGGGGCTCCTCTGCTGGTGGTCCAGAGCCTGCCCTGGACCTATGGTCAGGATGAGCTGGCCCACGATCCACAGGGAGAGAGGCATCCAGGTCCTCTCAGCTACCCTGTGTAGGATTTTTCTAGTACCTGAAATGTATTATGATTAACACGTAGTCTGACTGAAGGATCACGGATGTGATGGATCATGGATGTAATGCCTGGATGTAAAGCAGTCCTAGCCATCCCAGGGATCCTTTCTATTGAGGGGAAAAAGCATTCTGGCACAGAGCAGAACTGTTTTGCCCTGGGATGTTCTACGTCCCTCCTCTGCCTAGGAGCAGTAGGGGGAAGCCTACAGATCTATTACAAATATAGTAAGGTAATATTCTCTTAGCTATTTGTTTGCATGTATCCATCTTGTCTTCAAGATAAAATTAGGAGAGCGGTGGGGCGCCTGGGTGGCTCAGATGGTTAAGCGTCTGCCTTCGGCTCAGGTCGTGATCTCAGGGTCCTGGGATCGAGTCCCGCATCGGGCTCCCTGCTCCTTGGGAGCCTGCTTCTCCCTCTGCCTCTCTCTCTCTCTCTCTCTCTCTCTCTCTGTCTCTCATGAATAAATAAATAAATAATCTTAAAAAAAAAATTAGGAGAGCGGTATGTCTGACTGCCTCCATTTAAAAGTTGACAAGAGAGTCGGAAGGCAGTCACAGCTAGGCTTAAGGTGAGGGCAGGCCTCTGTTCACAAAGGCATTCTGATGGAAGTCGCTCAAGAATTTGGATTCGAAACCCTAGTTTGGAGAACTCAGTTCCCAGTCGGCTGCTCTCTATCCCAGGAGGTGAGAAACAAAACTTACTCTGTTTATTCCTCCCTGCTTGCTGTCTCACTTTGTCATCTGTGGCTGAGAGGGCTCCACGACACACCGCTCTCCCAGCTGCAGTCGTTCATCAAAAAAGAAACCTACTGCTTGGGCAGAGAGCCACACGATCTCAAGAAGGTGGAAGAAAATAGTTATTTCCATCTTAAAACGGGCTCTGACGCATAGCCAGACCCCACTGACACTGGTCACATGTATCTCAGGAGAACTTCAGTGTGTACATGCATGTCTGTGGGTGGGTGTATGGGGGTGTGCATGCGTGCTCATGCACACCCATGCACGCAGGAATGGATGTTTCTCATCAGTTTTGGAGGGGATGTGGGGAGGCACTTGAGGCAAGGAAGCTATAACAAAAAAGTAAAAATCACTGTCACCCCTTCTGGCCGAAATGCTGCAGAATATGGATGGTCCGTCTTTACTGGAAGTTCTTGCGCTCTGGTTGGCGAATGATGACAAGCTTCCCATCTCTGGAAGGAATGTTGGGAAGCTGAGAAGGGCCACCTGAGCCACTCTTGCTTGCTAAATATTCTTGGTAGTCCTTTATTATTCTGGAACCCCTGCACTGTATTTATACCAAAACAATAAGTAAAGGATGCTTTAATTCCTGGTTTTACAGAAGATTTGTGGGTAATTTGCCCATAAGCAGGAAGGTTTTGCATAGATGTGAGGGTCAGACATTAGGCAACAGCAAGACTGAGCTCTCAGCTCTCGCACAGCTAATTTTCTAGATTCGTTGGGCATTCATCCTATAGATTATCCACATTCTTTTCTTTCTCCCTCCTGCTGTCTGCCTTTTGGTCTTCAGTCTGTTCATTTGCAACTCTACCACAGGCAGCGACAGAAGATAGAACCAAATCAGTTCATTTGGGCCTCCTAAGTAGTTTTGATAAATAACTGAGTGGGAAAAGGAGGGGCTAAAATTAGATTTTAAAATTATCTGTGAATTCAATGTGTCACTTACGTGTATTATCTACTACTCCCCAGGATAACTGAAAATAGATAGAAGCTGTCTGCAGCCAAAGTAGGTAGGAAACCACAGTGTCTGTGAAGACAGAGTTTGCCTCCGTGTGGGGCCTCTCAACAAAGCATCAGAAGGGGCCTGCAAAAGAAATACGCTACAGGAAGGGTGAATTTTTTTTTTTAAGATTTATTTATCTACCTTAGAGAAAGAGAGAGCACAAACAAGGGGAGGGGCAGAGGGAGAGAAAGAGGGGAAGCAGACTCCCCGGCTGAGGAGGGAGCCCAATTGGGGGGGTGCGGCTCTATCCTGTTAGACCCTGAGATCTGAGCAGAAACCAAGAGTCCAAGGTCCAGCTGACTGAGCCACCCAGGTGCCCCAGGATAAACTTTTTAATTCAATTATAAAGTCAAAAGGAAGAGGTATTGGTTTTTTGTGTTTTTTTTTTTTGACAGGAAGTAGGTTTTATTGGTGGGCATGAGTCGGGAGGGGGCAGTGCCGAGGTTCTCATGAGTGCAGAGCCCTCCATTTGTCCAAGGGGCCACGATTAGGGATGTATTTGACCCCACAGCCATCTGGGATAAGCCGCTTTTCAGCCACCATGTCTTCAAATTCATCCGCATTAAACTTAGTAAAGCCCCACTTCTTGGAGATGTGGATCTTCTGGCAGCCAGGGAACTTGAACTTGGCCCTGCGTAGGGCCTCAATCACATGCTCCTTGTTCTGCAGCTTGGTACGGATGGACATGACTTGGCCAATGTGGACCCTGGCTACTGAGCCCTGGGGCTTTCCAAAGGCACCCCGCATACCTGTCTGCAGCCTAGATTGGAGATAGCATGAAGTCAGACCTCAGTGTCCACTGGAAAGAGCTGTCTCCAAGGTCCCTTAGGGCAACCCATACAATCAACAGGCTGCATACACTACCAAGGAGGTTACTGTTTGCAGCCATGGCACACTGGGCCCCCATGGACAAAGAGCACAGTCGGCTTAATTGGCTGCAGAGGAAGAGGTATTGTTTTAAGTGGCCCTGTGACTCCAGTATATTTTCTAAGACTTGGGGTGTCGGGTCAACCAGCCCTTCCGCTGGTACTCGATTTGAAGTTTATGTCCTTTTCTCATATACTTATGTTATTTCCAGAGACCGTTTGAGTAGAAAGGAAGTTTCATAGAGGATTTTTTAAAAAAGATTTTATTTATTTATTTGACAGACAGAGAGGGAGGGAGCACAAGCAGGGGGAGTGGGAGAGGGAGAAGCAGGCTTCCTGCTGAGCAGGTAGCCCAATGTGAGGCTCGACCCCAGGACCCTGGGATCATGACCTGAGCCG